TATAAAAAAAGTAAATATTTGATTCTTAATCAAGGTTAGATGTACCACCAGATAGTGTGCTCTTTTGCCACCCTAATACTCTTATAAAATAAATTTAATATTAAGTTAAATAGAATCAACCATTACTTTGCAGAAATGCATAATATTAAAGATGTTCAAATTTAATTAGCTACGCTCCGAGTTAAGAAATAAAACCGATAGTACCGTATATTTATAATATAATAACATATATTATTGTAATACTATAATACCCTATTATCGACGGTAGTGTTGGGATTAGTTGTGACGGGGATAGTGCAGGCAATGACTTTTTCTGCCACCAGGGCGGCACTACTAGAAAGTGAGGTATATAGTATTTGACAGATTTCATAACGGGGAGGTTAATTTGTTCGGGTAATGTAAAATTTATTGTTTCTTTCTGTACTATTAGCTATATTTTATATTAATAACATAAAAAAAACTATAGATATTCATAAAAATAAAAAATTAAAAAGTGCATAAAAATTAAAGAGCAAACCATTGACGCATTGTTTTGTGTATTAATATAATACTCTAGAAACTGATAAATTTTTGTTAAAAAACAACTTCTCAATTAAATTACATTGTGTAACAAAAAAAATTACCTGAGTGTCAACTAGCGACATCTGGTGAGCAGAAAATTATTAGCCCTCATTGAGGGCACGAGATGCTCTTCAAATTATGTAAGATACATCTTTTTATTTTAATACGCGAAACTTAGGTAATTAATTTATAATCATCCTCAATTTAATATAAACACAAAATAGAATAGTAGAAAATATCTAATTACTGTAATAGTAGCGGAAGAAACAATTGAGGAATACTAATTACTCACAGCGAAATGATCAATGTCAAAATTAGAATAGATTTCTTCCTCGCATTACTCAGAATATAAAATAGGTGTCCTTTTGTTTTCCTTCACTCTTTTTTTTTGTACAGAAATTGTTTATCTCGTATCTTGTCTCTCTATATATTATTCTTCTTTTATAAAAGTGAGGTCTACCTCGTTAGTCGAATGACCGTAAGTTGCTTATCATGCGGTCTCTGGTTCAAAAAAGGTCTCTGGTTGTTGGATTATTCTGTCAGGAATTTCTCAGAAGCAGTCCGGAGACAGGAAGTAGGAGATGTTTCATCCTCGTGCCTCGAAAACCACATAAGGTTAATCCTGCGACTGGAGTCTCTCCGGTCGTGTCGCATTGCCGCCCCATCGGACAATGAGCTTGAGGGAATAGACAGCTATGGAACTGTGCTCGCGTACACTCTCTTGCACTATAATCATGGTCTTTTTTTTATAGGATAGGATGACAAACTAGCACACAGTCCACCTGATGGTAAGTGGTTGCTGTGGCCTATAGACATCTACATTTATCCTCGATTATGAATCAAAATGCGGATGCGTTGTCACCCGTGAGGACTAAGATGGAATGCCTCTTTTCCAGTAAAGAGCGTCTCCGGTTCTCTACACTCACCATACGAAACACAGCAGCATTAATCTGCTATTTTATCTGGTATTCTGTGAGAGCGTGGTCCTTCCCCGATCGAGCCGACCCATTCGTGTTACAACTATACCAGAAATATAGCTGCAGCATGGCTCTACCACGTAAAAACTGGTCTGATCCTGCTCAGGTGGCTAGTCTCCTTTGAGTTTGGCCGCCGTAACTGAAATTCTCTTGATTATAAAACATTGGTTTGTCAATAAAATGTTAGGTATATAATATAAAATAATGTTGGGGGTTGTTATAAACTAATTCCCTTAATTCCGCGTAAAGAAAGAAAATTATGTGTCCTGCCCAGTTTTAAGGGAACCTCCCACCCTCTAATATAGAGATATAATAAAGAAAATACGACACGTGTTTGGCCTCTACACGAGGCATCCTCAGGTGAAGTAGACTCTTCGAAGGCTGGCCGCTAAGACTTACTCACTTAGCGGCCAGCCTCCGCAGAGTCTACTTCACCTGAGGATGCCTCGTGTAGAGGCGAAACACGTGTCGTATTTTCGAGAGTGGTGTGTCGTGTCTAGTGTGCTGGTGCTGGGGGTGGTAGTGCTTGGATTAACGGCGACGGGTATAGTGCGCGCGATTGAGGGAGGGTGGGGGGTCCCTTTAAAACTGGGCAGGATACATCATTTTCTTTCTTTACGGGGAATTAAGCAAATTAGTGTATAACAACCCCATTATAATGGATTTCCGCAAAGTAACGCCTGATTCTATCAATTATCTTAAAATAATGTTGCCGATTGCGTAGGTACTTCGTAAAACTATAGGATACTTGTACTTCGTAATCACGTCAAAAGCTTCTCCGACTGCATGTCAAATACTTGACCGAGCGGTCACAAAACCCTGCAAATTACTACAAATTTTACTAATAAAGAAAGAGATGCACATTATGATACGTTTTGTATAATTGTGTGTACAACGTACGTAGGAGTAATTAACTGTTTTTTAACTTCCCGCTTTGAAAATTAATAATTTTCAAAAGTAGGAAGTTATAGATTTCAATCCTGTGTGTGTTTGTGTCCTGTGTGTGTACACATACACACATACGCACACACACACACACACACACACACACACACACACACACACACACACACACACACACACACACACACACACTTACTCTATGAACTTAGTAGTCTTACTCTATGAACCTCGATACTAGACAATATGATGAAATTTGGACTTACAAATATCAAAACAACTCCCAAATGGGAAAATAATAAAATAACACAATTTCTACAACATTTTCCTTGTCGTGTTGAAGAAACCTAAGTTACGGTGACAGTGAATTACAATGAAAGGAAACGTAGTAGGAAATAGGCGGCTTCTACGCCACTTAATTGTTAGGCTGAGTGTTCACGCGCCAAGGTGAAGTGGACAATGCGATCTTGGCAATGAAAATCATTCAATAGACGACAACCGGTCAAATGTATATGCGAATAACTGACCGCTTTGAATATACTCCGTTCAAAATTACTAACACTGAAAATGAAAAGACTATGTTATGTAGACTGCAACAATGAGGTTGATACAGACGCGATAAATGATATTTTACATTGAGTTATATGTACTACGTACTAGAGAAGCCATTCCAAATAAAAATTATGTCTTCGCGCATGCGCGGGAGTAGCAGTCGCGCATGCGCGAAGACTTTAATTTAATATAAAATAAGATGTTAATATAAAATAAATATAATAGTTTAATATAAAATATCTTAATTTAATCTAAAGAAACATATTTCTAAATAAAATGTAATAATAATTATTATATGGAATTCATAAATCTTTAATTTACGTAATATTTAGTTTGTATGGATTGCACTACAGTTCAGTTGAACATAGTCAATGTTCGGAATGGCTTCTCTAGTACGTAGTACATATAACTGAATGATATTTTATAGATTTTTCAGCCACGCTGCAGCAACATTATGCTTGTAGCAAGGATGGGTCGGCAACACAGGGGACGGACCACACTCTTACAGAACAATAGTGTGAAATAGTAGCTTATTACTGCTGTGTTTCGGACGGTGAGTGTAGAGAAATGGAAATGAAAATTTGAGAGACAATTAGCAACCAACTTTATGGTGTCGCTTTTAGGTGTCAGTAAAGCGTGCGCGTCGTAAAAATTTACTCTCATAATATTTCCCAAACGCGCTAAAAGAAGTATAACTTCAATAACTTCAAGAGAGAATCATTAAAATCAAAAAGTATGTAGGCAATTTAATTAACAGACTAGCTGTGCCCCGCGGTTTCACGCGTCTGCGCCTCGCGACATGCGAACTTCGAGAGAGACATCATGACGGATGGTTACTGAATTAGCAAAGATTTAAAAAGTGAAAAATGTTATTTAAATTACATGGTTAACGTAATTGATGGTAATACATGATACAGGTACTGATATGGCCTTGAATACGAAATGATTTATTAGAATTTAAGGACTACTACATAGGTACGAATAATGTAGTCCAGTTTGTACCGGCGTTACTATTGCATATATATATATATATATATATATATATATATATATATATATATTGCATATAGGTATTGATGTCCTCTATAATACCCTAGTACATCACTTTGCTCTATTGTCAATAGTTTCCGCAGCGTACGCCTAATAAAGATATTTCGACGTTACTATTGCATATTTTGACATGGAAAACTCGTTATTGTGACATAACTGTAATAGTTAGACGTCATATGGTATTACGGACTTTTTGTAGATTTATGTCCTATATAAAACTGTAGTATGTCACTTTGCTCTATTATCAATAGTTTCCGCAGCGTACGCGATATAAGGATTATTTTTGGTATTTTTTCACACATTGGGTTACATTAACGAAGTTTTCATACGGATCCCTCACCCTTTTGATAGCATTATATAGCCTATGTTCATCAGGGATAATGTAGGATTCTAATGGTGAAAGAATTTTTCAATTCGGTCCAGTAGTTTCGGAGCCTATTTTTTTTTTTTCAGAATCAGAATATTTATTGCCAATAAGCTGTGTATGTACAATTTGCGGGTGACATTGCAATTAAATGTTACACAGTTTACCCATATCGGGTATGCAATAATTAAGAAATTCAAACAAACAAACAAACAAATCTTTCCTCTTTATAATATAATAACTGATAACAGATAACAGGTATGTAAGTCTAAGTTGCCGTAATGCATGTTACTGGACTTCACATGTCCAGTTTCCTCACGATGACTTTCTTCACCTCCAAGCACGCGGTAAATTAAAATGCAATTAACAATTTAATTGGCACTACATTCAAAGGCAAAAATAAATACACTTATATATATTATTTCATTATTATCGAACGAGCAAAATCAAAATTGTACTGTCAATACGGCAAGCGCTTAAAAAAATATTATGTACCTAGATATATTCCTTTTTTTAAATTAACAAAAGTTACAAAAATGTTTTTAATTTCTTTTCCGTTTATAAATAAAATAAAATTAAAATTAATTATCTTCTAGACGTACTGCATCGACGCTCAAGTTCCTGATTCGGCGTGTACTGCGACGTCTTACTTGACTGGCGTGAAGACGAAATACGGCGTGATCGGGCTTGATGGCAATGTCACCAGGGGATCTTGTTACTCGCAGCTGCACAAAGGGAACTGGGCCTCATCTATTGGTCAATGGGCTTTGGAAAACGGGTTGGATGTTGGTAAGGAACATTTTTTTTCTTCAGTCATGGACTCGTACAATTATAAAATTGCCAGCGTCAAGTAATAAGAAATTATTCAATATAACATTAAGTTAACTTCTTTACAATATGCTTATGCATTACATTACGAAGTTTTTGAGAGATATTGACGACATATGAACCCAGCGGAACGTCAAACTCAAGTACTTAAGGAGCCGAAGCAAACAAAATAACTTGAGGTTTATATCAACATTATACTTATATCGTCGTTTCCACTAATAGTTCACATGCGCAGAGTCCTAATACACAAAATTGCATCACTTTTATATGTATCAAATTATTATGTATTTATGTAGATTAAAACCATAATTTAAACGATAAGACGGTAACAAAAATCCTTCGACGGGCAAGTTCCCGCCAAAACCCGGGGAGGACCTATCATAATCAAGGACGTTCAAATCAAAAACGTTCAAAAATCGTTCGTCATCAATCTTTGTCACCAATCAAATCGTTCAGAAAAAACCTAAAAAATATTTCGAACATTCAGAAATAGATGTGAATCTAGTCCAGATCATCGTCATTGAAAAAATACTATTACGTGCAGCTTTTTTTAATTGTTTGATATTTCAATTAAAGAGCTAGTGGGTATGAGTGCTCACGGTGAATTTCATTGAACAAGAGATTAAAATTCTTAATGATCATTTTAATTTCTCATACACACGTGACGAAAAATCCGCGTGTAAACCTGCATTTCTAAGTAATTAAGCAATTCGGAGACGTACGTCCTTCAACACGGACTTGAGCAACGCGACGGACTAACTGCTCCAACTCTCGCCTTAATTTGAGGACGCAAGTGTGTGTACCCTTGTACCTATCAGTGGAACGTACTTAACTTATAAACTATAATATACGTTTTTAATTTAATTGGGACTGATGGCACGGTGCACTTATTCGGTAATAATTTTAAACATTTATTTAACCGAGTTTTTTTTAAGGAATAAGAATGACAAACGAGCACACAGTCCATCTCATGGTGAGTGGATGCTCTAGCCCATAGATAGCTACATCGTTTCTTAATTATGAATCCAAATGCAGATATACAGATGCCTTGTTACCCCTAAGGAATAGGATAGAATGCGTCGTGTTCGTCGAGTGTGGCGATGTAAAAATATCCACTATCTCATAACATGCCGCGGTGTCGTAAGAGGCAACAGAACGACACTCCACCAGGAGATGGACAGCAGCCTCTTCCTGATAACAATTGAATAAAAAAAGCTGTTGTTACCAACCCACGTGCCATACGTGGCAACTATGGAAAATAACCCCCAGGCCTATGCATATAGCAGCGGACATAGCAGTGGACTTTTGATAATTTATATCTACTGTATGTTTTTTGTATGTTGTTGTGGATCGATTTTAATTATTTTTATAAATTATGATTTCTACTCCAGCAAGGCTAGAATGGGCAGGATACAATTTTATCCCCGGGCAAAGGAGAAAAAGTTTACCCCCTCGCTTAGTTTTATCCACCCTTCGAGCGTGGGCACACCGGTGGATATAATATCCACAGTAGATAAAATGGGCGATAGACTTAAGCTTTGATAGGTTTTTTGTATGAATATAAACTTAAACCCACGTCCAATGAACTAGGATAGAAATGTCCCTTTCAAATGTCAAAAAGCATAATTTTTTATCTTTCATTTGGCTCCATGCTACGGACGGGGGATATATGTCTACTCGTTACGTCAAACGGGGAAATACCTTTCCCCGTTCCCGTGCTTTGGCATAGGGCCAAGATAATTTTATCCCTTGTCAGAGGATATAATCGGGGGATAAAATGTTTGTCCCCAGCCCATGCTAGCCGTGCAGGGGGATTTTCGTTTTACAAATCTTAAGTGACAAGCGAACTTAATGTTCACCTGATGGTGCTGACTGTACTGACAGCAGCCCATAGACACTTGCAGAAAACTTCAAGCACATAAGGTTAGAGATGCGTTGTCACTTGTCCTTAAAGGGCTAAAATGGAAGAATACCTAACAGCGTATAATTATGCTGGCTCCCTATAACCATCAGACTGGAGTACAACAATGCAAACATTGCTATTTGGCGGCAAAAAAATATAAGAGGATGGTACTTATCCATATGGACCCCTAGTCAGGAAAGGGCCTACCGAATAAATTTAAGGAAACAATTCTACTGAATGGAAAATTGGCGGATGATATTTTTATGTAACTATTTAGACAATATTTTAATTATTTACTTCTACTGCCTCGTTAGTCTGGTAGTCGTGAAAGTGACTACTAAGCATTTGGTTCTATGTTGGGATTCAAGGCTGGGCCAATATTAGTTATTGAGTTTTTATGTCAATTTTAGCGAGAAAGAGCTTGGAGTTTTTCTCGATAGCAGGTCGGTGTCAGGCATTTGGCGGTGTTTCACCCCTGTGTATTTAATAGCACGTTAATCCGTTAGTCCTGGGCGATCTCTCTTTGGTCGTATCGTATAACCGTCTTATTGGATTATGAGAGTAAATAAATAGAGAGTGCACTTGTTCTTTCTATTTCAAGTAGTGGCGTTGTAAGTATAATTTTTTATATGTGGTAGAGCTATGCTGCAGCTATATTAGTAGTATAGTTGTAGGACGAATGGGTCGGTTCGATCGAGGAAGGACCACGCTCTCACAGAATACCAGCGTAAAATGGCAGTTTAACGCTGCTGTGTTTCGTATGGTGAGTGTAGCGAACCGGAGATCCTTTTTACTAGAAATGAGGCACTCCACCTAGGTCCTCACGGTTAACAACACATCTGCATTTTGATTCGTAATCGAGTATAGATGTAGATGTCTATGGGCCACAGCAACCACTTACCATCAGGTCGAGTGTGTCACCCTTAAGGTATAAAAAAAATTATCCTGTCCTGCATTGAGACTGGCCGCATTGTCAGTGATTTAATCTGAAGGACGTCATTATTAGTTGTTAAATTGTAACCTTTTGATTTTGCATAGTGCACTCGAAATGGTCAAAAAATGAAACTGTTATAAAAAGGAAAAGCCGACTTCGGAAAACCAAAACGAATGAAATATTTTACACATTGTAGCTTCAGAAGTTTGGGCTTAATTTTTCTAGTATGTCTATGTACCCTATGTAGCTTCAGAAGCTATAATTTGTAAATTATTTAATTATTTTTAATTCTCTGAAGACGGCTTTTAGGGTTCCGTACCCGAAGGGTAACCACCGACACCCTATTACTAAGCGGCCGCTGTCGTCCGTCCGTTCGTCCGTCCGTCCGTCAGTCCGTCTGTCTGTCCGCTGGCTGTATCTCATGATCCGTAATAGGTAGACAATTGAAATTTTCACAGAATGTGTATTTCTATTACAAAAATAAATAAATGTAATAAAACTAAATTAAAGGGGCTCTCCTACTAGAAATACGTATTACGATGGTACGGAACCCTTCATGAGCAAGTCCGACTCGCAATTGGCCGGTTATTTGATTAGTTAAAAATTTAATTTTCTTTAAGGATACATTGTTTGTTTCTCTCATTAAGTGACGCAAATAATTAATAGAAACATTGATCATTCAATTTCAATAGGATACTCACATAAATTGCTTGTAAACCATTTGAGTTTTTATCACTCATTGTTTAGTACAACAGTTTGAGAATTCAGCTTACTTTACCTATATCCTATTCGTAGAAATCCATTTGTCGGAATTGTTTCAGTCCATGACGTTTGTGGTTAAATGATATGTTACTAATTTATCTATTGCACGCCTCATAACGCTAAGCGATATAGGTGTGTTCTACTGTCGACACGTCAAGGTTAAGCATTTGTGTTGTTAAATGCCTCTATCATAACTATATTGCACTTGTACGGTAATATGAGTAGCCGCACATCAATAAAACACAAATTAATCCATCTTATATTATTTTTATATTTTTATATTGCTACTTTGATAAAAACCATTTTGAAAAAAATTTTACGTGGACGTCCGGATGTTGGTCACGATAACTCCCGAAAAAACTGACGTATCGACACCGAGTTCTTTTTTATTAGCATCAGAATTACATCAAGTGATTCCCTATTTCATACCCATAATATAATCAGAATTACATCAAGTGATTCCCTATTTCATACATAATAGCCCAGTACGTGTCGTTTGTTTATAAAATGATTTTAAAGTTTTATAAATTTTATTGCTATTAAAAATTTAAAAGCGCTTTCATTTTTTTCTTTAGCCCTTGATAGACATAGGGCAAATGTACCATACAGCCTATAACGATTTTATACTTTGTGTAATCGATTTATTTTGGTAAACATTTTTTTGCCTGTAGGTAACACTACCTGTTAAAATAATAGAGCGTTAAATTTAATACACGTAAATAATATATTTTAAAAGTCAAGAATACAATTTATTTTTTTCATCAAAATTTAATGAAACGCTAATGAGACGTGCACTTTGGGATTTTCCACACTATCTATTTATTTAAGCAACATAGATTTTAAATTAGACTTGCATTATCCATTCCATTACAGCCTATCAAAGTCCACTGCTGAACATAGGCCCCCCATAGACTGGCACATAAGGAGTTATTCTTAGTTACCACACTTGGCAGTTTATACCACGTATTTATTCAGTCAATTTCTTGTTTGTCTGTATGTTTACAGTGTGTCCGTCAATCCTGGTGTAATTTAGTAATTGATTTTAAACGAACTTCCCGATGAGCTGGAAACAAATTTTTAATTTACCACAAATTCGGATGATAATGCAAGAATATGATTAAAAACTTAAAAAATAAAAAAAAATATTAGGTATATTGTTTTATTTTATAGTTGTTATTAGGAAGAAGCTAATATTCTGGCTTCCCTTTGTTTCCTTTTACGTCACTCACGGGGCGATATAGGGTAGTAGAAATTCTCACATCGCCACTCCACAAAATCATATTTATTGATAGTCATTTTTTTTAGTTTTACCACTGGTTAAGAAAAAACTTGTGTTCGGGCAATACCCAACAAAAGGCCCAATAGGACTTGTATATCTATTTTTCTAATCTATAGGTTTTGTAACAACAACGCGGGTGACCCACGCGTCCCCAGCGGGTATGTACGCGCACACCTCGGAGAGGAACTGGGAGAGCGACGCCGACGTGCCAGAAGAGTGCCTCTCATTGGGCTGCCAGGATGTCGCGTATCAGCTGATCATGAACAACCCTGGGCGACAGTATAAGGTAAACCTCTCATATGTATCCAACTTGATCAGAAACAGCGTGCGCCCTTACTAGCTCCAACCTTTGAATTACAGCCGTCTTTGCACAGCAGCGAGACTCATTAGTTGGTTTGATCATTGATCATTGAATGTCTTTAAAGTCCACACTTTAAAGACATTCAATAAAAGAGGCTACTCTATTTTAAAAGGCCGGCAATGCACCTGCCATTCTTCTGATGTTGCAGTTGTTTGTGGACGGCGGTCGATATTTTCCATTAAGTGAGCCGCATGCTCGTTTAGCGGTAGAATGAAAAGGGGAGATCTCCCACCGGGCAAGGTGTTCGGCCCGGAGAGCGGCCAATACTCCATATGCGTACAGAGCTGTTATATCTATAGCGCAGTACTTTGGAACTTTGATAGCGTGATTTAGGCTTCGGTGTGTTTCGCTTGTGGCGCGACGTCAGCGCCGCCAAACTCGTTTACCCCCTCTAATAAAGTAACCCTCCTTTATATTGGAAGAATGAGTTTACAGTTTAATCGTTTAAGCACTAATAAGCTTACTGTGGATCTTTTCACCAGAACGTAATAGTCTCTTGTAGATATCAGATTCCTCAATTGGCACAATCATCACGATTAGCAGATGAACTGGCGATTTCAATAACAGCTAATATCTCTCGGTATATACAGATACGCTCTGATCAAGATTCGAATCCATTATACGTGCCGCAGTAGATGCCGCAGTAGGGGTGACTGGTGTCTAAACTCTTTCACCCCTAAACCGAAACTATCGGTTAGCGCTGTATCTACTAAATGATTGCTTCTACAAATGAGAATACCATGTGATATCGCGTAACATACATACAAAAAAAATAACAGTCGTATTGTATACCTCCACCTTTTTTTTGAAGTCTGCTAAAGATAAGTATCAATATAAATATATAAACGTGGTAGAGCAATGCTATATATTAATTGTATAGTTGTAGCACGAATGGGTCGGCTCGACCGGGGAAGGACTATGCTCTTACTGAATACCATCGTAAAATAGCAGCTTAATGCTGCTGTGTTTCGTATGATGAGTGTAGAGAACCGCAGACCCTTTTTACTGAAAACGAGGCATTTCATTTTAGTCCTAACGACTGACAACGCATCTGCATTTTGATTTGCAAACGAGGATAGATATGTAGATGTTCATTGGCCACAGCAACACTTACCATCAGGTGGAGTGTGCGCTCGCTTCATCTTTACCTTATCCTATAAAAAAATCAAATAGGAGCCGTTGTAGCTCAGGGGCTCACCGTAAATTTCAATGCACGAGAGCAGTCCAGGGTTCCATCACGTACTCGGAGGTGAAGTAAAACATTATGAAGAAAACCTGCATTTCTGAAAAATAAAAAAGTCATCTGAAGTCCGCGAGCATGCATTTAGGGACTTCCGCTCGTGATATTCACTTCCTTGTCCTTAAAATCTTCTCAGAAATTAAAGGAAGCCTTTCCAACTGTAAGACGTATATATATTGTGATTACCCATAAAAAGAAATGCAATTATAATGTGTTGAATTTGTTATGAAAATGATCTTTGTATTACTGTTGTAATTTCTGTTGGTTATCCTAATAAATAAATAAATAAATAAATAAATAGGCTGTAACATCTTACTAAGTTATCAAAAGTAACAGGCTTGAAAAAAAAACAAACAATCATTTCGAATACCAAACGTTCTAAACAGATATTCCCAGTATATTTAAAACTATGAATGAATAAAGAGCACAATACAATAGTCCAGTCAACTGCGTCGCTTGCAATTACCATATTGATTCCGAAGCTATTAATGTGGAAATAAACGCTTTTGCTGAACAGCAAAGTATGCAAATCGGTGTGTGCGCAATTTTTATCTCACCTAGTATGAAATAAGATATAAAATGCAATAGCAGTCGTTATCCACCGTGTCGTAATGAGACGCGAACCAAAACCTAACATAGCGGTGGCAGTTTTTTCAGTTATATTAAATAGTTCAAATTTTCATAGGAAAATTTTGTCACAAAAACTTTGTTATACCAATTTTGTTATACAAATTCTCACCAGCCCGTGCATTACTTCAATAACAATGTTCTCTAAACCAATTTCGGCCAATCTCAACGAGCACCAATGAAATTGTTAATTGCAACTTCAAGTGCTAATTTACCACGGTGAAGGAAAACATCGTGAGGAAACCGGCATGTCTGAGAAATAAGAAAAAAAATAATTCAAACATTTTTGAAGTTCGCCAACATGCATTGGGGCAGCGCGGCGGACACTTCCTTGCCCTAAAACCTTCTCAGAAATGAGAGAAGGCCTGTGCCTGTGCCAGTGGGATGTATATAGGCTGTATTTTTATTTAACTAACTTTCTACGAGCACTAGCCATCTACACAGAACAGGATTATAGTGCTCGAGTTTGTGCGGTGCACAGGTGCACTCTCTATTCCCTCACTCTCATAGTCCTATGGAACGGCAATTCGACACCACTGGAGAGATCAGGCGCAGGACCAGTGTGCTTTACTTGCTTTAAAACTCCGCAAACTTCCTGGCTTCGTATTTCTTGACAGAAAACTCAATAACTGAATTTGAACCGACCCGAAATTCGAACCCAGGCCTTCATAATCAGCAGTCGCGTTACGATCACTAGATGAACAAGGCAGTAAGTTATTCATTATGCAATCATGCTCAGAATTAATTGAACGGAATTAAAAAAACGGTAATGGGTCGAAATAGACTCGAAATTCCAATTCGGTACTACTGATACTGAATATAGGACTATATTTAGCGTTTCACAGCTTTGCAAGTAGATTAGCAAGAGTAACATCAGATGTTTTATTTGTCGTTGAGAATCGTGTCTTGCTTAGGAGAATTCACTACACCATCTCATGGTGTGAGATTTGACGAGTCCCCCAATCAATATTCGAGTCCAGACCATAGCATGTTACACAAATTTTGACATTGTGGGGTATAAGTTTTCTTATTTCTCCCACTTCCGGTTTCTTAAGCCACAAGATTTTTGTGTTATCTTTTTGGCATACGAAGTAAGGTCTAAAACATTCTTTAAAAATAGAGCTAATAAAAATGTTAATTACCTATAAATATAAATATCAATTTAAGTGGCGTTAGTCTATACTAACACCATTATTGTAAGAGTAAGATCTGGTAGAACCACGCTGCAGCTATACTAGGGTTGCTGCAAGAATAAGACGGCTCAACCGGGAGAGGACCACACTCTCGCAGAATACCAGCGTAAAATAGCTGTTTAATGCTGCTGTATTTTGTATTGTGAGTAGAGAAGCGGTGACCATTTTTACTGGTAACAAGACATTCTTAGTCCTCAGCGCTAACAATATAGATGTCGATGCACCACAGCGTGCTCCTAACATCAGATGGATTGTGTGCTCGTTTGTCATCCTTATTCAACAAAATAATCTCCATTGTGTAGTGAGTGAGTATGGAATTCGTTTAAGCAATCAACGTCTGACTGATTGTCTGTCCCAAAACAGGTTTTGCATTCACAACCGTTAAAAAGGAGGCATTGAGTTATTGCTGGTTGTTAAAGTCGTGTAATTTTAAAGGTATTTGAATTTAAGCCTTGTCACAATGATATAAGTTATAAAATACGAAAAATTATGATGAATTTACATGAATGTCTTTAACATGAATAGTATCAAGGCCTCATATCATTCGGTGAATACCGTTATAAACGATTGAAGGAAATGGAACAAGAGATGGGCTGTTTTTGTGTCTTCCTGTAAATAAAAATTGCGGTTACCGACACGGCTGCCAACTATGGCAAATATCGATTGCCTCATAGGGGGACGCTTTGTTCAGCTGTAAGACGCCGTTCATTGAAAAGCCTAGTAGAGACTAGATAAATCTAGCCCATGGGCTACGTAATATTTATTCCTTAAATATATATTATTTCCATCATCATATAATCATCATTAATAAACCTTACGGGCGGACATAGAAACGGAGATAATAATATACAGATGAGTGCATACAACCAAAAGGTATCTTCGCCGCATTCAGTTTATAATAACCAAATACTTTTCTAGGTTATAATGGGAGGCGGCAGAAAAATGTTCTTCCCGAACACTTCAACTCCTTTAGCGAAAAGCACGGGTATGAGGCTGGACGGTGTGGACTTAGTTGAGAAGTGGCACGAGGACAAAATGAGAAAGAACGCCACCCACCAGTACGTCACCAACAGGGACGAGTTAATGAAGGTTAGTGCTTTAAAATAAAGTAACATCCTGTACATGTCTCCAAAGAGCGTGACATAATAGATACTATCACATAGGAAATGGTATAGTTTTTGAAACAAGAAACTGTCGAGTTTACATCTATCCCACATTGAAAACCTAGATCCATATGCATTGTACCCCTAAGCACTAAAAATAAATGCCTCGTTATTAGTTCAGACTTAAAAAGAAGAAAGATAGAGCGCTACGTATATTAGAAGAAAGACAGAGCGCTGCGTACATTTTAAGTAATGCAAAAATACGAACTTATTGTAAGAACCGACAACTCGGAACACACACTCATGTACACATATCTAGAATTATTTGCAATAAATAACATGGTTTTACTTGTACATGTGTGCCTCTAGCAGTAAAATTTTATGGGCTGTCAAAAAGAGAAGAAAGTTGTGAGCTTGAGTGAGTGTCAAGTAGTTGAGCATGGTTTTGGCATCACTTCAAATTAACACAGCATTCCATCTACCTTTCTTTGTTGGTCTAAAGTTATTAGTAAAAAATTAGAATACTAACGTGCATCAGCAGCAGAGTGCTGCTGTTTCGTATGATGATCGACAAACAGAACAGCCTTGTTCATTGATAACGAAGCATTTCAACTTATGTAGTTCTCAGGTGTGACAATGCATCTGCATTTTAATTCTTGTTTATAAATAAATGTACATTTACCACCAGGAAGACTGTGTGCACGTTTGTCTACCTTATTTCTATATTATTTTTGATCTGAAGGGATCTGATTACAGAGAGTAGTATAGTTACTGTGACACATTCCATCTTAGTCTTCCGGAGTCACAACAAATCTGTAGCTTTCTTTGATTGAAGTTGCAACCAACAAAGTTGCTGTTTATTTTTTTATATTTAGTCGTTATAAGGAAGACTCTGCTGACCATCTCCTGATTTTTTTCCCTCTGTCACCTCTTACGACACCCGCGAGATGATATGGGCTAGTGGATATTCTTACACCGCTACTACACGGTAAGTTCGTTTGTCACTACAGTGTAATTAAAAAAAAATCATACATACATAGCATCACGCCTGTAATCCCGGTAAGTCCAAGAATTCAGAAACCAAAGAGCAGCGAGTTACGCGGATCATGTTTGCCAAAACGAAAATTGTGAAAGAAGGATAGGTAGCTAGCCCATCGCCTACTCAGTCATAAGCCCAATATCCCATTAGTCGCCTTTTACGACATTCTAGACAAGTCACATTCTTTTTCGTTCTAACTCCTACATTAACATGGAATCTATATGTCACAGACCAACATGTAACATTACAAAAAAAAATCACTCCTTAAAAAATTTTAAGCAAAAAGTTTCTAAAAAGCTGCTCCAGCGGTGGCGTTCACATGTCCTCCATTTTATTTATAGCAAAGAGAGACAACGAACATGCGACCCAGATAATTGTTTTGAAATCTGTTTTTTAATAAAAAGATTATACTTTAGCGGTGGTCTCATTGAGATTTGAAATATAAGTACCATCTCTAAGGAGAAAAAATAGAAGACATACATTGGTAAACATTCACGCCTGTCACTTAGAAGGGTAGGCAGAGACTACGGGCTTCCATTTGGCACGATCCTGACACACCTTTCTCGCTTCCTCCACATCAATATACCTATGTATACATGCTCGTCGGTTAAGGGTACTCTTAATTTGGCCTATTTTCAATATATCGATCGCCAATTTGGTCGATAAATTTTCGCTTAGGACGTCCTTTCCCGACTCTACCGTGCACTTCTCACTTTTTCCTGATTCATTCTTTCTACATGACCAGACCACCGAAGCATTCCTTTCTTAATACTGGTCACAATATCATCTTGCTAACCACAATATTCTCTTATCACACAATTTCTCACCCTGTCATTCAGATTCAGCCCTAACATACTACTTAATGACCGCATTTCAACAGCATTTGTTCTACTCTCGTGCTTGTTCTGCCACACCCAACTTTTACTACCATATATCAAGGTAGAGACTAACACAGCATTGTGGATTGCCATACGTGCCTTTTTTGATACATTCTGACTTCGCAAAATAGACATTTTAATAAAAAAATTAAAGCCAACTTCAGAAAGTAAAAAGAGTAGAATAAATAAAACTAGTTTTACGGATTTTATAGCGTATTTTAAGTTATTTTATATTCCCGACGTTTCGAGTACTTTACAGCACCCATGGTCAGGGGAGGGGGCGGTTTTGACTTCCCAATGTCATTGAACTTACAGTATCTTAGTCTTGCAGTTGTATGCTTGGGTTGGGAACTAATTGTATTAATTATAGGTTCCCAAACAGATGGTAGCACCCAGCCATCTACTCTATTGAAATTAGGATGCTTGTGATTTTGTGGTTTGGATCTAGCATTTACCTACTGTCGTGGGCTACTCCTAACACACGTATTTTAAGCTTTATTGAAGTGGTTAAAGCGATTTTTCGTAATGGTGTTTCAACTACGAGTACGTACTTAAAAAAATCCCAAACAGGTGGTTTTTAAATTGTTTTATTATTCCAGATTTTTAGCTCCGACGACCTACCAGAGTACTTACTCGGCCTGTTCCACGACGATCACATGGAGTACCACTTAAAGGCCAACAATCAGCCAACTCTAGAGGAAATGGTCGAGGTTGCTATCAAGATGCTCAATAGAAGCGCGAAGGGGTATTTCCTCTTTGTTGAAGGTGAGTGTACTTAAGAGTTTTCGTTAGTAGTACTGCATTTACAAGTAGTTTTGCCGTGTAGTGGCGGTCAAGAATATCCACTACCCCATATCTTACCGTGGGTGTCGTAAAAGGCGACAAAGCGAATTAGGCAGGAGATGGGCAGCACCATCTTTCTGATAATAGCCAAAATTACAATAAAAAAACTGCGGTTGCCAACCCGCTTGCCAAGCGTGGCAACTGTGGCGACCATGGTAACGGCGGGGCAGGGGGCGCTAAGAATCTCCGGTGGAGGTTCGGTGGCCACCTTAGACGACTCGACCTGGCAACGTACAACGCACGCACCCTGAGGACTGACGAAAAGATCGTGGAGCTGGAAGAAGAGATAGACAAGTTACGCTGGCATATTATAGGATTATCCAAAGTCCGAAGAGAGGGGAAGGACACGGTAATCCTCGAATCCGGCAACTTGCTCTATCACCGGGAGGGCGACCATCTGTCCCAAGGAGGTGTCGGATTTATCGTCCACAAGTCATTGCCTCTGTAAAAACGCAAGGCCCCAGACGAGGATGTAATTACAGCGGAGCTTCTGAAAGCGAGTGGAAAACCGGTACTGGAAGTCCTTTTAATTCCGTCCTCCATGGTGGCATTACATCGAAGGCGTGGAGCAGAAGTGCGGTGGTCTTGTTCTTAAAGAAAGGTGACAATGCTCTCTTGAAGAACTACAGACCAATTTCCCTTCTGAGCCGCGTCTACGTGCTGTTTTCGAGAGTCATTACGAATCGTCTCGCACGCAGACTTGACGACTTCCAGCCTCCCTAACAAGCCGGTTTCCGAAAGGGCTTTAACACCATAGACCACATACATACCCTTCGGCAAATTGTACAGAAGTCCGAAGAGTACAATTTTCTACTATGTCTGGCGTATGTGGACTATGAGAAAGCCTTTGATTCCGTCGAAATTTGGGCGGTGCTGCAGTCCCTACAGCGGTGCCAAGTTGACTATCGGTATATCAAAGTGCTGAAGTGCTTGTACAGTATGGCTGCGATGGCTATCCGAGTACAGAACCAGAGTACGAAACCTATCCAATTGCAGAGAGGTGTAAGACAGGGTGACGTTATATCCCCGAAACTCTTCACCGCTGCATTGGAAGACGTTTTCAAGCCTCTGGACTGGAAAGGATACGGTATTAACATCAATAGCGAGTACATCACTCACCTTCGATTTGCCGACGATATAGTCCTTATAGCAGAATCGCTGGAGAACCTAAGCACTATGCTCAATGACCACAATAGTGTCTCCCAACGGATAGGTCTTAAGATGAACATGGACAAAACATAGATCTTGTTTAATTTGCATGTCACACCTATGCCGGTAGTTGTTGGGAGCACTAAGCTCGAAGTTGTTGACGAGTATGTTTACCTGGGACAAATAGTCCGACTAGGTAAGTCCAACTTCGACCGAGAGGTCAATCGACGAATTCAACTCGGCTGGGCAGCGTTTGGAAAGCTACGACACATCTTCTCGTCAGAAATACCTCAAAACCTTAAAACGAAATTGTACAACCAGTGCGTGTTGCCAGTGATGACTTACGGATCTGAGACGTGGTCCTTCACTGCTGGCCGTATGACGAAGCTCAAGGTCACTCAGCGAGCTATGGAGCGGGCTATGCTCGGAGTTTCTCTGCGTGATAAACTTAGGAATGAGGATATCCGCAGTAGAACCAGAGTAACCGACATAGCACAACGGATTAGTAAGCAGAAGTGGCAGTGGGCCGGGCATATAGCTCGAAGAACCGACAACCGATGGGGAAGAAAGGTTCTTGAGTGGTAGCCTCGTACAGGTAGGCGAAGTGTAGGGAGACCCCCTACGAGATGGAGTGACGACCTGGAAAGACATGCAGGAAGTCGATTGATGCAGGTGGCTCAGGACCGTGCTTTGTGGCATTCCTTGGGGTAGGCCTATGTTCAGCAGTGGACTGATGAAAGGCTGTAATGATGATGAAAATTAAAAATTTTGTACAACCAACTTCAATACAAATATAATTTATTGTTTATTTTTTTAAAACCGCTCGACCGATTTTGATAATATTTAATGGGACCTGGAAAGTATACCCTTTGAAACAAACAAAGAATTTTCCGAATTGGTTCAGGTGTCTTCGAGTAATCGGTGAACACACATAAAAAAAAGATTCCAATAAATTGTAAACCTCCTCCTTGTTGAAGTCGGCTGAAAAGAAATTATATTTAAAAATACATTCGCTATAATGACTATATCGCTGTCGCGTGGTGCTTATTGATCATCGCTGTGACGTTTTGTCTCGTTAGTCTGGTGGTCCTAGACGCGACTGCTCAACAAGAGGTCCCGTATTTGAATTCGGGTTCAAATTATTTCATTATAACGCTGTTGCATAATAAATGCCATCAAAAACATAACTTGTAAAAAAACCAAGTCTCGCAACTCAGTTCTTTTACCGTAAAAGGTTATGAGATCCATGTAATACCAAGTCGGTTAATTTATTCAGTCCCTACTTAAGGGTCCTTCTGTCTCAAGTTATTACGTAATTAGCTAACCTAACAACATCTTATAGTGACCATATCAATATTAAAAATCTTTTATGTTTTAAATAAATAAATTGACTTGACCATCGCATGAAATACTATGTATCTCACAAGTAATACATATTATATTAAATAAGATTGTTTAGTAATTCAGGCTTCTAGCTTTATCCACAACGAAGTTATAGGGGGTTCGAAAATGGCTTGAACTGCTTCGAGAAAAGGATGGTATGGCCGTGCCGCTTTTTTGCTCGACTTGGCGGGGGCACAGTTTACACAGTGCCCACATACAAAGACAGAAGCCTTAAAAATATTATTGTAGAGTCGCAGCAGATCGCTGTATATTTTACAGCACGCGTGATACCATAGTTCGAACCCCGCAGGCACCAATGAAATTGATAATTCCAAAAGTTAATTAATGCTATCGTCGAGGATGAAACTCGGATTGCCCGCGTACGATGAAATTTATAGTGGGCTTTTAACCGCTGAGTTACCCGTATATATTTCATTGAATAAATTTTTGTGTTTTTAAGATATAGTTATATTCCGTAAATGTCAAAAATGCTCTGAATAAGGCCTATGCTTACAAGTGTGACATATATAGGCTGTAAAATTAATTTTAGTTAAGTTTCACTTTTTACTAAAAGATATTTCTATTCTTTATTAGTAAACATTTGCCCAAATATGCAATCGCTGCTCAATTTTAAGACGCCCTTAAGTCTCGTGCTGTCTCTATCACTTGAAGTCAGTGTGACTGGGACACCACGAGACTTCGACATGTAGCGTTTGAATATTTGGCCAATAAAATCAGTTGATAAATATTATGAAAACGTCTCGCAGTAGCGACTGTCGCTGAATTATCGCAATCTGTGTGACGGACGTCGCTTATCGCCCCATGCACAGTGTTTTGTGGTACGAGGCTTGCAGCTGTGTCAAGCGCGAGTCCTGGCGAGCGAGCCGACGAGGCGGCTTTTTGTATTTCTTTGTGCGAAAATAATTAGCGGGCCGCAATTTGTAATGATTTTAGGAACAACTTCTTTTTAATTACCGTGTAAAATCAGTAAAACGCATAGTTTAATTCTCAATCCCAAAGCGAAACGGCTTTAAATAAGATTAACGTCGCGATAACTATGAAATGTTAGTCATAAAAATAACTTTAAATTACTATTTAATCGCGTGAACTTGACGCAGCCAGTCAAAAGTAGCCTATAAAATAAGCTTGAAATAATTATCGCTGCATATTTTTCCTGCAATAAAGCGGTCTTATTAGAATATTAGCTGTTACCTGGGCCTTCTAAATTCTGTTTAAACAATACACATAATATTGCAAAATCTTTGTCATATTAAAGGACGGTAAGTTTAGAATAATTATGTCTTCCGTTCCGCATTCCGCAGTAGAACTAGAGTGACCGACATAGCCCAACGGATTTGTAAGTTGAAGTGGCAATGGGCCGGCCATATAACTCGAAGAACCGGCAACCGATGGGGAAGAAAGGTTCTCGACGGGCAGCCTCGTACCGGTAGGCGAAGTGTAGGGCGGCACCCACTAGATGGAGTGACGACCTGGTAAGACATGCAGGAAGTCGATGCATGCAGGTGGCTCAGGACCGAGATTTGTGGCATTCCTTGGGGAGGCCTATTTTCAGCGGTGCGCTTGTGAACGGCTGCTATGATCACGTCAATAGTTAGGTTCACATATAGAATTGTTTTTAACATCCTGATATATTTCAAGAGGCAAGCTACTTCCCCCTTCGAGTTAATTCATACTCGTAACATTGAAGTGTTGCGACTCATTATCCCAGAAATTGTGGCTGCAGCCGCACGCATGACTGATAATCTGTTATACTTAGTAATTAAAAATTAAAAATAATATTTTACTAGCTTTTAAAATTATGTAATCTTGTATTTAAAGGTGGCAGAATTGACCACGCTCACCACGATAGCTACGCGCGCTTGGCTTTAGATGAAACAGTTGAATATGCTAAAGCAGTCAAGAAAGCCAGAAGCCTAACTAACGAAGAAGACACATTGATAGTTGTTAGTGCCGACCACGCTCATACAATGACGGTGGCTGGTTATCCTTCCAGAGGCAATGATATATTGGGATCTGTTGACACCGCTAAAGGAGACGATGGGAAATCGTACACTGCGATTAGTTACGCAAACGGAAAAGCGACATCTATCGGAAGTAATGGAAGAATTGATGTCACGTTGAAGGATGAATTTAAAAATGGTAAGTAGTTGTAGTTTTATACAATCTTTTCGCGAGTTATTGTGAGCAGGGTATTTTTAAATTTTCTTATTTTTTGTTTATTGCCTTGCAATGAAAGTTCAATTGTCAACTTTGCTATTTTAAAATTTCAGGAGCATTAAACTTTTCCTACCCAAGCTTGGTGCCTTTAGACTCCGAGACTCATGGTGGTGAGGATGTGGCCGTTTTCGCCCTTGGACCCTGGCAACACCTTTTTACATCAAGTTATGAGCAAACTGTAGTTCCACATTTAATGGCATATGCAATGTGTTTGACAGAAGACAAACACAAAAACTGTGAAACTAAAACACACCATAGACGTTTTTGGACATCGAACGGTGTAAATAATAAACCGAATGTATTTATTTATGTTATAAGTGTATGCGCTGTGATAATTAGTTGTTTGAGATTATAATTTTAGTTTAGGTAATTTAAACATACGGCAATACAGACTTAAGAAAGAAACATCGAATATAAGTAACAGATGGTTTCGCAATTAGGTAATTATAAATAAAATAGTTCCTAAAAAGGTTTAATGCGGTACGCCCTATGGCTTCGCATGATTTGCATTCATTACAAAATCAATAATTTAGCTTATAAAATATATATAAAAATTACGTGTCACATTGTTTGCCCGCGATGGACTCCTAAACTGCTGAACCGATTACAATGAAATTTGGCACACTGTGTGCAGTTCGGTCCAACTTGAGAGATAGGATAGTTTTTATCCTGATAAGTGACACTCAATATTTTTTTTTATTACGAATTTAAACATTTTTTTATATGAAGGGTCGTCGGAAAGGGCAGAACAACGTCTGCCTCTGGCGAGCTAGTAAAATATATGGTAAGAAATAAAAATTAAATGAGATGATGTCATAAACGCAGGTATTTCCCCTGTGACGATGGATACTGAAATGTAGTTTTTTCTATGTAGGAATAATTTTACCAGAAACTACCTACAGCCACGTTGAATTTAACATATTATTTAACATTTACCAACTGTACACTCCTCTTAAATCATAGTGATCATTTGTTAATCTATAGTGATCGTACTGTCTCTTAAGTGTAAAAATTAATTACTTTTATAAATATTAACTAAAATTATTTAACAGGAATAATTACGAAATTCTGCTTAGAAATTAAGAAAATTGTGTAGATTTTATGAATATATTGTAACATTCCTTTGTAAATATTATATTATATTAGATTAAGTACCTAGCAATTCTGTCTATTGATATGTATATAGAAGTCTGTTTTGGAGCATCCAATAAAATGCTATGTCAAATAGGCTTTACTTTGCCTAAACACCGTGTTAGTTCAGGGATTGGATAAAAATTTACTTTTATTTGTATTTTATATCTAAGTGAGCAACACGAGTTAGGTGTCCACCGACAGACAAATTTAACGTTAATAGCAATGCAGTTCTGAATTAATAGTGGCCTAATAATGGGGTGCGAACCGCGAACTCAAAACGTCATAGAATTAAATCGGCCATTCGACTACTGTCGGGAACCATTGCTAACACAATCATTTTTAGCTCACCTAGAGTAGTTAAAGGGAATATTAATATAATATGGCGGCCTCGTACCGGTAGGCGAAGTGTAGGGCGTCCCCCCACGAGATGGAGTGACGACCTGGTAAGACATGCAGGAAGTCGATGGATGCAGGTGGCTCAGGACCGTGCTTTGTGGCATTCTTTGGGGGAGGCCTATGTTCAGCAGTGGACTTGTGAAGGGCTGTAATGATGATGATGATGATAGACCGGCAACGCATCTACAATTTCCCTGGTGTTGCAGTTGTTTATGGGCGGCGGTACCTAGGTGAGCTGCATGCGCGTTTGCCAACTCTGCTATAAAAAAAGTTGGTAATATTTTTAAAACAAAAAAATTGGCACATTAGTTAATCTACTAATATTATTATGTAAGTACCGATTTATTACTTGCTCGGCGACGAAGAAAGGCATAGTGAAAAAACTTTAATATCTGAGAATAATTTCGATGATATCATGATGTGGGGTGTTTCACCCCCGTGCCTCGGAAAGCACGAAAAGGCGTTCCTGCGCCTGATCTCTTTCCGGTCGTGTCGGTTTACCGTTCCATCGGACTATGAGAGTGAGGGAATAGAGAGTGCACCTGTGCTTGCGCATACACTTGGGCACTATAATCCTGTCCTGCGCCGATGGCTAGTCTCCTAGTAGTTGAGGCTAGCCGCCGCGACCGAAATTCGATCTGGAGTAAATTATATTCTGTTAAAAAACTTTTATTACGAGTTCGTGTAAAGTGATTTAGATAATTTAAAATTAAATATTTTGTACAACCGACTTCAATATATATTATTAAGGATAACTCAAAAACTATTGATCGGACCTTGATCAAATTTATATGGGACCACATGAGAAGCACCGGCTTTCTAATAAAAAAAGAATCGTGGAAATCGGTTCACGTAGAACAAAGTTATGAGGTAACACACATAAATAATCATACATTCGAATTGAGTGCCTTCTCCTTTTTGAAGTCTGTAGAAAAAAAAAGTCTTTTTACTTTTAATTTTATTTGTCATTAAAATATTACTTGGTAAAGAAATCGCGTTTTAAACAAGCGGTTTCTGTATCAATCCTCTCTCATTATCCTTAATTATAATATTTTCGTGCAGGTCTAGTTCCGTCCATAATAGGAGAATGAATAGTTACTTCGTTACAAATCCGGTTATCAACGCTATCTACTATTTATTACAGTATCCTGCTACGAGTACATCCAGAAAAATTTCACTGCTGAACATAGGCCTCTTCCACAGATTGCCTCATAGGGGGAATATTAGCTATAGTTGCCACGCTTGGCAAGCGGGTTGGCAACCGCAGTTTTTTTATTTCTAGTCGTTGTGAGGAAGTCGCTGCTGCCCATCTCCTGATTTGTTTCCCTCTGTCGTTTCATACAACACCCACGGGATGATTTGGGGTAGTGGATATTCTTACATCGCCACTATACAGTAAATAGTCCGATTACGGTAATTCTAAAAGAAGTGTAGTACATGAAACTACTATATTTTAATAACTGACTATGACGAAAGGATATTAGTAAAGGCTCTATGCTTCAAAATAGCTTTATTTTTTTCTATGTGTAAAACATCATCTTGTTCATCAGTCTCTAAAAGTCAACTGCTGCATGAGCCTCTTACGTATGGTGGATGCCTTAATTGTCACTCTTAGTCCCTTGGCACAGTTTAAATACTAACTCTTTAAACTGTGTCCTTGGCGGGCGGATGCAAACAATGCAGTAGATACCAGTACCAGATTACATTTTGAATTTGAAACATATTGTTTTTCACTATTTAGTTTTTTTATCTTTATTCGGGATAACAAACAATTGTACAATATAATGTAATCACTAGCCGCATGCTCGTTTGCCCCCTCTCCTATAAAAAAAAAAAAAAATAATATTAAATATATACTTTATTTTTATACGTTTACAGGACCTGGAAAATACTTTAATTCATATAAAACGTTGGCAGCCCTACTAACAAAATGTCATCCATTTTGAGATGATTGTAAAACATTTTTATATAATTCCCACAATTTTTTGTGTCGATTTTTTTTTGCATTGCCATAATTAATAAATGCTTAAAAATGTGAATAAATAATGTGATTTATGTAAAAATAATATATTTATGTGTTTAAAGTTAATTTATTTGTAAGTAGGCATATTAAAATGTTAAACCTGATAGTATTATTTTTTATTATTTTACGTTATGGGTATTTTTTTTCTTATTTCCTTTCATCTCTTTTTTGTCGCAATGAATAACAATAATAAACGGTAAAACGGTAGAAGTTAAGCTTCTATATAAGTAAGAGTAACAAACAAACAGTCCACCTGATGCTAAACGGGTGTTAAGTGCTGTTGCCTATAATAGACATCTATATTTATCCCTTCATCATCATCATCATCTTTATATCATACCATTAAAAGTCCACCGCTGAACATAGGCCTCCCCCAGTTTGCTTCGTAGGGAGGGTAGGTGTCACAGTTGTTACGCGTAGCAACCGCAGTTTTTTATTGACTTGGTGTGTGTAATAAAATGTGTATATGTGTAGTATTAACTGCTTTTAAAATAACTAAAATTAAAAAAAAAATTAAAAACCCACAAAACAAAAAGAGCTGATCACTGCAAACGGCGGAACATATTTTCTTGAAACATACTTAAGAATACTCTCGATTGAGGCACCTTTCAAACAAAAAAAAACTTAATCAAAATCGGTTCATCCGTTCAGGAGCTATGATTCCACGGACTTTACGTGTTAGAGCCATGCTGCAGCTATATTACTGGTATAGTTGTAGCACGAATGGGTCGGCTCGATCGGGGGAGGACCACGCTCTCACAGAATACCAACATAAAACAGCAGCTTAAAACTGCTGTGTTTCGTATGGTGAGTGTAGAGAACCGGAGACCCTTTTTACTGAAAAGGAGGCATTACATTTTTTTATAGGATAAGTGTGACAAACAAGCACACAGTCCACCTGATGGTAAGTGGTTGCTGTGGCCCATAGACATCTGCATCTATCCTCGATTGCGAATCAAAATGCAGATGCGTTGTCACCCGTGAGGACTAAGATGAAATGCCTCTTTCGAGTCGAGCCGACCCATTCGTGCTTCAACTATACTATTAATATAGCTGCGGTATGGCTCTACCACGTATAACCCTATTTTTTTTTTGCCATCTCTAAGATACCAACGTATAACAAAGCGCTACTTTTCTCGGGTACTTCGTAACCAGTTCATTTTTATTTAGTTGAATTATCTTAAGGATTAAATCCACAACTAATGTCTTAACTCTAAATGTATTTCATTTTCTATCTTGTTTTTGATTCCTCATTATACTGCTCTCCATAATTATTTGAAAGTGATGTAGAATATCTCTGTGGTACTTTGTAATTGAAGAAGTTTCGTAGCCATATCATGTGACGGAAAAGTACGCAGGTATTGAAGTCTTTTCGTTAATTCCGTTGCTGTTTATTTCGGAACCTCTATTATTGACCAGTTTGTTTCCAAACGTTGGGTATGTGTCTTTTAAAATCCTTAGACATCTGATCTAAGTATCCTAAATATATATATACTCAGCCACATGTATAGGAGATAATTTTAATTACATTCAATTATAACTGTTTTTTTTTTATTGAACGAGCACACAGACTACCAGATGGTAAGTGAATGCTGTGGCCCATAGACATCTACATTTATCCTTGATTAAAAATTAAAATGTAGATAGGTTGTCACACCTAAGACGAAGACGGAATGCCTTGTTTCCAGTAAAAAGGGTCTCCGGTTCTCTACACATCAGCATTAAGCTGTTATTTTACTTCGGTATTCTGTGAGAGGGTGGTCTATGATTCTGTGGTGTAGGACCAACCCGGTCGAGCCGACACGTTCGTGCTATAACCAACAACCATAATATAGCTGCAGCGTGGTGAGCCACGCTGAATTATATTTATATAGCTTTATTTTTATAGGTCCTGTAACATTTTCTCATCTGCAAATCTTAGATGATTTGGTGTTCTGTACCACAAGGAAAAACTATGATGTAATGGGTAAACGAAGCAGAAGTCTACAGCACAGATATTTATTTAAGTAAGCTCTTTAATTGTTTTAAATAAAATGTGATTAAAAATTACATAATATTCACTCTACTTTACGCGTGGTATTTTTTTTTACAATGATTGAATTACAATGATAATGATTTGTAACGGTATTAACCTTTAAATGAGCTGTTAGATGAAAAGATGACTTTCAATTAGTAGTACTTATTAATAGTCAAATTGATAAAATGTTACTGAAGAAAAAGCAATAAATTATTTTTGTAAAATATCTAGGTATGCCAAACGCTTTTAGATTCAGTTGGTAGCGTCATCTATCGTCTTAATGATCTATCATTTTAACATACTCATACCTCTGTAGAAAACTTACCACGCTAAAGTTAGTCTTTTGAAATAGTTAAAGCTTAGCAATATAGATGGCGTATTTACGTGGTAGAGCCATGCTGCAGCTATATTAGTAGTATAGTTGTAGCACGAACGGGTCGGCTCGACCGGGGAAGGACCACACTCTCACAGAATACCAGCGTAAAATAGCAGCTTAATGCTGCTGTGTTTCGTATGATGAGTGTAGAAAACCGGAGACCCTTTCTATTGGAAAAGAGGCATTATATCTTAGTCCTCACGGCTGACAACGCATTTGCATTTTAATTCGCAAACGAAGATTATGCAGATGTCTATGGGCCACAGCAACCACTTACCATCAGGTGGACTATGTGCCCGTTTGTCACCGTAATTCTATTAAAAAATTACTTGGTCCTTTCATTATGTTTACTTTTATGATGGATGATATAAGAAATATGAGTTACACATGATACCTACTGCAATCTCCATTCCACCTCAGACCAACTAAAAACAGAGATAGAGCAGATTTCAAGTGACATTTCAAGTGACGCAAAAACCATATTTGGCTTCTTGACACGTTCTCATTCTCTATTATTACTTCTTCCTTCCTTTTTATTACACTCGACTGCTGGGCGCACACATGTACTAAAACCATGTTGGGTTGCAAATGATTTTAGATGCATAATTATGTGTGCGTGCTCTTTTACAATAAGTTGAGCATGGTTTGGCTTTGTTTATCTTAAAATGTTTCCTGTTTGGTATGGAGTAATTTACTTTTGGGTGTTATTTAAAGGGTTAGCATAGTATTCATGTTTTCGTCAGCAGAGAAATGTAATCTAGTAGCAGAAATAGATAATTGGTCAGCAAACCATGACTAGGAAACATTATTAAATTAATCGCCAATTTTTGACATTCTGGACGGCTGTAAATTTTTTAGTACAGCATATGTATTATACAATTATATAAAATTTTGATATGCACTTAAAGGGTAAGCAACTAATCTAATTTTGCGCAGCATATAAAAATTGAAAAAATGACATGCGCAAAAAAAAGATTATTATTATTATTATCTAAAAAATGTACGCGGCTTTGGGGTGTCCCTTCGGCCACCCCAGCCGCACCTTAACCTACTGTCGCTGATATTACTTGATACGTATTTCCGTATTTTTACAAATTTAACAGTACACCTATATTTAACCAACTACTACTCGCCGCAGTTGAGATGAGAGCATTAAGAAGTATGATAGGAGTTAAACTGAGTGACAGGATAAGAAATAGTGAGATAAGGAAACGTTGTGGTCTGAAAGAAGATGTAGTGACAAAAATTGAGAAAGGTATGCTGAGATGGTTTGGCCATGTCGAGAGAATGAATGAAGAACGATTGACGAAAAAAGTGTATAAGGCGAGTGTGAATGAAAGTGTTGGAAGGGGTAGACCTAGGCGGACATTTCTAGACCAAATCAGGGACGTCTTGAAAAAAGGCCAGGTCAAGAGTACCCTAAATCGTAGAGCATGTATGAAGGGAATAATGAAAGTGGACGAAGCAAAACAAGTATGTAAGGATCGTAGCAAGTGGAAAGAACTGGTCTCTGCC